GGCCGGGTGCTCGGGGGAGCGCGGGCATTTCAGTCGCCCTGGGAAGAAGAGGGGCGCACGCGCGTGTGCAAGGACCCCCCCCCCCGGCCCGGAGCCGGGTGGCACCCTCCGCCAAGCCCGGGTCTCTCCGTTGTCAATTTGTCGGGCGCCCGGCCGGGGGGGGGGGCCACGCAGCGGCCCTGGGCCCGGGCGCCGGCTGGCACACGCTCGCAGAGACACGCAGGGGGGGGGGGGGGCGACCCGTGGCGAAATCGAGGCGCCTCGGCGGGTCAGTGGGCCGGGTGGCGACGCGATCTGTAATCGCCGCATGGGCAGCTCTTGAACACGCGCACATCCTCAGGTCATGCGGATCAATCGCGAGAACACGCGCACATCTTTCGCGCACCAGACTGGGCGCTAGGATTGATTGGGTGCTCCCTGTGCGGTTCCGGGGGGGGGGGGAGCGCACAGGGGAGAGGGTGAGCCGGCGCAGGAGGGCTGGAAGATCGCGTTCGCCCGTCCCGTGTCCCGCCCCTCGTCCCCCCCGTGCGCCGCCTCTATCTTCGTCTTTGCGGCAGTCCCCCCCCCCCCCCCCCTGCCCTGGGGCACATGTTGTGTGCCTCGGCGGGCGGCGGCCTCAGAGGAACCGGACTCCATGGGGCGGGAAGCCCAGCGATCCGTCCGATTTTCCGCCGGCTATCGCCCTGGGGCCCGGTGTGTGCCTGAAGAATCCCCTGGCATCTGCCGCGGCGGAGCAGACGGCCAGCATCCCCTGCCCTCGGAGGGCCCGGGCGGGGGGGGGGGCCTCTTAAATATTAAAGGTGTCTTTATGTTCAGAAGAGATATTAAGTGCTCTAATAAACCCGGCGTGCGCTGGTGGGGCCACCATGGACCCGGAAGGGAGAGTAACCAGGGCCGGTTTCTGCCGCGCGCGCGCTGGGGACGGTTGAGGGGGGGGGGGGAGGGGGGGATGAGTGACCGCCGGGCTGGGTGCATATGCCGGCCGTGCGGCGCGCGCCTCCTTTCTCGGTCTCGCCCCAGCTCCCAGCGTGAGAGTGGCATCAGTCGCCCTGGCTGGGGACGAAAGTGGCCCGCCGAGCCGAGAGGGCCGCGCCGCGCTACCATGGGGTGCGGCAGCGCCGAATAACCTGGCAAGTTCGCCGCCACACACGCCACCATGGCACCACCGCCCGGTGATCTTGATGATTCATCCGCCGGGGAACATGGCAGCGGGGGG